TGGTACAGATGGGTCACAGCGCGGCGCCGTCGAAGTGTCGATAGTCCTCCTCGGAGTGATCGTACTGGAGCTCCCAGGCTTCTATGGTCCGCGGGGTGATCTCGGAGTAGCGAAGCTGCCCGTCCGGCGCCAGCGTCCAAGCGGGCTTCTCGTCGGGACCATCCTGCGCCCCCCGGGCTACCATCCCGCAGCGGGAGCATGGCCCCCGAGAGGCGGAGGAAGCAAAGGAGGCGGCGCAGGAGGAAGCGGGAAAGAGGTCAGGTCACCAAACTTGGCGCCTCGCACTGCGCGAACCGCGATTACCGTCACGCTCCCTCGCGCGCCAGCTGGACAAGGGCAGCTCACGAGCCCACTCCCCGAGGTGCGATACGCGACTCCCATCGCCCCGCTACGTGTGCCCACAGTGGAGGCGGAGGAAGCGCACGGAGGACCCCGCAGTGAGCGTGGAGGGTGGGCGGGAGGAGAGACAAACTGAAGCGGACGAAGGTGGGGTGGGGACGGGCGAGAGGAAGGGCGAGGAGGACGCATGTTTCCCCTACCCTGCTTGCCTTCCTCCCTGCACCCCTTCCTTAAAACGGCCGCGGTGTCCGCGTGCCTCCCGAAATAAGCTGATCGCACAAGCAGCGGCTTCCGGAGTGGACAGAACCCGCCCTTGTTGGATCCCCGCGGCGCCGTTTTCCTCCCTGCCGTGCATCCCCGTCCTCCCTGTCCCCATCATGTGTATGGGTGGGCACAGGAGATGATGATGTGGCTTCGCAGAGCCTGTAAGACGGTACGCTGCCCTGAAGCATATGCCCAACAGAAATGACGCCATTCGGGAACTCTCGCGCAAAAACTTACCGAAGATGCACACAATACCATGCCTGTGCGACTCCGCCAGCCGTGAAGGGATCGCAGTGACGAAGCGGAGTGCGAGAAGCTTCAGAGAAACTCGCGAACTGAGCATGTGCTGCTCTGGGGCCTGAACATGACCCGCCACCGTGCATTCAGCACGGAGTGTAACGCCCCAAGGCTCATGCAGATGTGAGTGTTGAAGGGCCTGTCGACTTCTTGATGGCCCAGACCACAACCTAACTAAAATTCTTTGGCGCCTGGAAGCCCAACCCGCCCAAGCCGACTCCAACGTCTCCCGAGAGCCTTCCAAGAATCGCTCAACAATTGGCAAGGACCCTCAGTAGCCCCGCAGGACTGTCCTGGGGCTCTCTTGGAGCCTCCTGAGTCGTCTCGGAGGTCCTGTTGGCCAGCAAGGCCAAGGCACCGAATCCTTAGAAACCAGTGTCTGGCATGATGTTCGCAAGCCCTGCATTTACGCAATCTCTAAGGCAGGAGGCTCCCCAGATGGCCCAGGGAGGGAGCCTACGGGGGGCGGGACCTCGAACTGTCGTCTTGAGGTTTGGAGCCCCCTGCGCCCGAGACAGCTGGCACGCCTCCAGGGCGCCCCGCAGAGGCCTCGAAGGCCCCCCACGAGACCCCAGGAAGGCATTCCTGGTCATCGTTCGGACGTCCATTCCCTGTGTTTTTTTGGTTTCGTGCGTGGTTTTTTCGTCAAATGATCAAGGATGCTCCTCGATGGTCCTCGCCGAAAGAAAAAAATACACACGTCCGAGCGATGCAAAGACTATGCTGTCCTGAAAGGCCCACGGGAGGCCCCATCTCCGAGGCCATGTGCCCAGGACTGGGGCACGGTGGCGGGGCGTGGGCGCACAGCCACTGGTCACTGGCCAGAGGCGGAACTCGAATGGCTTGCAGAAGCCGCCCGATCCTTCACGATTCCAATCCACACGCCGCCCGCGCCGCCCGTGCGGCTGCATATCGCCTCTCCAGACAACGAGAGCTCGCCTCTCAAGGAGGCCGCTGGCAGGCCAGGAAACGAACTGGCTGACTCAGAGCAGGCGGGATGCCCCCTCCCCATCATCGACCGCATCCTCCTCGCCCTCACCCGCGTGCGCTCCACTGCTGCCCGTCCTCCACCTGCTCTGCGCCCTGAGCCCTCTTCAACCTCGCGGGGGCCTGCGGCACGGCATTCCTGTTCGGACTTCGCCGCCGCAGGCTGCTCTTGCGTGTGCCATCCCCCCCATCTCCTCACCAGTCCTCTCCGCCAACTTCCCTCCGCGTGTTTGTCCTGGCGCGCAAACATGGATCAGCGATCCATGGACTTGGCGCGCGGCCGCCAGATCCATGGCTCGGGCGAGGTGCTCTCCCCAAGATGAGGCCGGTGCCGCCTCGCTCGTCCCCTGGGCCCCCTCCCCTGGGCCTCCCCTGACTCTACCACCCCCTGGGTGTCCCCCTCCTTTGCGGCCTGCCCCCCCCCCTCTCCGACTCCCTCCTCGCCCACTCCCGCCCGCGGCGACTGGAGGGGAGCGACCGGCGCCCGCCGGGCGTTGACCCGATTGTGCGCCCCCCACACGGGCTCCCCGTCCAGTGGCCCTCCCACAACCCTGCGCCCCCTCCCCCACCACTTTGTTCTTCTTGGCGGCCCGCCGCGGAGCACCGTCTGACCCTGCCAGGTGGTTTGGGGGGGGATGGCGCGGCCGCGGTGCCGATGTCAGGGGGGGAAAGGGCGACGAGGGGGGCGAGCGGGGGTAAGGGAGGGCCTCCCGTCTGCTTGCCATTGCTCGGACGTCGATTTCCCGGGCATTGCTTATTTGTTGTTGCAAAATGGAGCCCAAGTGCTCGCCGATGGTTCTCGCCGATAAGAAATGGCAAATCGTTCCACTTGTTCACCGCTCATTCTCACCCCGTGTACAGGAAGAGGAGAAGCGGTGATCAGGCACGGGAGGGGGGAGGGGCGGGGTGATGCCAAACAGCGAAGAGGAAGAGACGCAGGAGCAAAGGGAGAAAAGGAGGCGATGACGAGGCGGGGGGGCGGAAGGAGGCGGGGACGGGGCGGGATGACGCAAACAAACTATGATGGATATGTCTAGGAAGGTGAAAAACAAACGGCAAGGGCCTAGAGAAAACGGGGAACGAGGAGGGGGAAGGAGGATCCTCCAAACAGAACCAAGACGATGTCCGTGGATGTTGTGAAACGTAAAAAGCGCTCTGCAAAGAGCCAATCAATGAGTCGAGCACGCTGAAACGGGGCAGAGGGGGCAGGAACGAATAGGAAATGAAAAGAGAGGGGAAGGGGCAGGCTGAGGGGCAACCATAAGGGGGGGACTGGCATGGGGGGCGGGATGCATCGACCAGGCATCGGCGATACATCGCCACTACATCGGCGATAGGGCCCCGATAGTGAGTCCGCACCGTCCTGGGCAAGTTAGGGCTATCGGGCCCCGAACGGCGATCAGTGTGCGATTGGGGGTCGACGCGTCCCCTCTATGCCTATCCCCCTATCGTTCCCCTTGAAAGGCGCGCAAGGCGAAGAGGAAGCAAGAGAGAGAGGGAAGGGGGGATCCGCCGGCCCCCTTGCGGGGACAGACGTCTGCGCGCGTCAGGTTTGCCGCCCCTGCCCCAGTTCCAAACCTGATCATGTTTCTTAGGGTGGAGGGCTGAGGATGAAATCCAGATGGGCTTTTGCGCATCGAAAACCAATCCGTCTTGTGATTTACCTTCTGCAGATGCAGCCCTCGAACATCCATCGACACGGCATTTCAGATTTCACACTTTGTCCTCCACAAGACAATGAATGCTCGGCAAACACAAAATTCGAAGAAAACGCTTATAATGTCTACTTTCTAATGTGAATAATTGAAGTCCGCGCGAAGGTGGGGGGGGGGTAGGGCAACTCCGCTTTGGCACCGCGCCCAGGTCGCGCTGCCTGAATTAGCGCGGGGCCGTGCGACACGTAGAACACATATTCCTGCGGGGTCGCGTTGACTGAATGCATGCGGGGCCGTTTCCTGGTTCGGTCCTCCGAGGCCACAATCCTGTATACATTACCTATGCGACCACCCTGCGGGCGATAGGGAAGTTGGGGGGGGGCAGCGATGGGCAAAAATGGGCGAGCCCTGCGCTCGAGGCTGGCAATGCCTGGCCCTGGGACAGCGGCGGCGCGGCCACGGCGTGTTCGAGCATGCGGGCGGCGCCAGCCACGGGGGCGGCACCGGCCGAAGGTTCGGGCGGGCTCCAAGGCGGAACCGCGCTTGGCATGTCGGTTTTGCTCGGGCAACTGGCCGCGGTCCGACGACGACAAAGGTGGCGCAGCATGCAGCGCGGCATGACGATGTGCCCGTCGATTTGCATTTGGATTTGCATTTCGACAGGCATTTCGATTCGTTTTTTTCGACGCGCCTGTCGACGCGCATTGGAAAGCTCGCCGCGGCGCCCGCGGCGCCTGGCGATTTGCATTTGGATTCGCAATTCGTCTTGCATGTCGATGTGCTTTTCGGTCAGCATGTCAGCGCGCGCGCAGACTTTCATTGGATAGCTCGCCGCAAGCGGCGATCTTTTGATATGCGCGACCTACGGCGGAATACCGGCGGGGCGCCGGCGGGGCGACGCGGGCCACCGTTTGACGGGAGGGGTGTCATGCGGTCCGGCCGCGGCCCACCCGTGGGAGGACTTCGGGACATTAGCAGGGCGCCGGCGGGGCACCGCGCGGCGCCGGCCGCCGGAGGAGAAACATGTGGTCCGGCCGCGGCCAAGCCAGAGGAGGATCTTGGGACGCCCGCGGGGCACCGGCGGGGCGCCACGGGGCGCCGGCCGCCGGAAGAGACACAATTGGTCCGGCCGCGGCCCAGCCACAGAAAGATTCCCCCTCGCCCGCCCGCGCCGCATCGCGTCGCCCGCGCGACCGCACGGCGCGCTCGACGCGACCCCGATGCCAAAATGGACTTCCCGGTTGGGGGGGGTCTCCGTTTCGCGTCGGACTCACCCCCCAACCTCCGACTCAATATTCGCGCCCCCAGAGCTACGACCTCGGGCGCATTGCCGAGCGTCCGCGTCCCCGGGGCCGCGGGCACTCGCAACTGGCGCGATCATGATCGCGCCCCCGATGCCACGACCCCGAATAAATTACCAAATGTTCGCCCCCGCGAGGACGCGATCCTGCGCAGGTTAGATTGCATTCGAATCCCCGAAGCCTTCATCCCGCATGCGTTTTACAATCTTCGCGCGTCCGAGGTCGCACTCCCTCGTGAATTGCAATCGCGCCCCCGCGGCCACGATCCCCAATGAATTGCACGATGCTCGCGTCCCCGGGGCGCCGATGCCTAGTGAATCACGCCGTGCTCGCGCCCCCGACACTACGACCCCTTCATTAATCGCGCGATGCTCGCGTCTCAGATGCCAGGGCCCCAAGCAGACCCCGCCTTACTCGGGCCCCCGAGGCCACGATCCCTTGCACAACGACCGATATCCGCGTCCCCGAGGCCACGGCCCCAAGCAAATTCACACATTACAGCCGAGCCCCCGAATCCACGATTCCGCGCGAATTATACAACAGTCGCGCTTCCAATCCCACGATCCCTTGAAACTTGCCCGATGCTCGCGTCTCCGAGGCCACGAACCACAAATGACGCCACGTTCGCGCCCGCGGTGCAACGAGACGGAAAAAAACAAATTCAACAAAAAAACATGCTCGCGCCCACGGGGGCACGATCCCTAACATTACGCCACGCTCGCGCCCCCGAGGCCATGATCCCTTCTTAGGCACGCCATGCCCGCGCTCCACGAAGCAGCCCCGATCCCTCGCAAATCACAGGGCGTCTGCGTCTCGGACGCCACAATCCCTAGCAATTTGCGCGATGCTCGAGTCCCCGATGCCGCCGCCCCTGGCGACTTGCATTGTGTTCGCGCCGCCCCGCCACGATCCCCACTAAACCTCGCAACGTTCGCATGGTCGAGGCCGCGCTGTCTATTGTGCCGCGCTCGCGGCCTGCAACGCGATTGCGCCATTCGCGCGCCCCCGAGGCCACGGTCTCTTGAAACAACATCGCCAAGGCACCGAAAGACCGTTCAAGGCTCGCAAAATTGTTCAACGGGGCCCGGGCATCCCCGCGCCGTTCCAAGGAGACCTCCAACACGCGGCAACTCGTCACCAAAACGGACGTATTTCAACGCTGCCATCTGGATCTCAGTTCTTCATGCAGATTACGAATCGACCTCGCACGCGGTCTCGATGCAGCTTCACCGCGGCGCCCAGGCATCTCAACGCAGCTTCTGCATGCCCTGTCCGGACAGAAAGGGCGGACGGATACATGAGGGCTGCGACGGCGGCGGTGGCGGCGTGGGGGGGGAGGCGAAGAGGCCCAAGGCGTTTTCAGCAACACTGCAGAGCGCTGTCCCGTCTTCTGTCTTCCTGCTGGGCTGTTTCCTCAGCTGGCTGGCGTTGAAATCTGGCCAACGCTCGCGCGGCGCCTCGGCGTCGCTCGAGTCGCAGATCCCACGACAAGCAACGAACGGCACAGCAATGGGCGCATGCACCATTGCTGCGCATGGGATGCCATCGGGGCGACAGAGGCGGAGCTGATCGATCGCTTCAGGGCTCACGTAACGCGGCGCCGTTGAATCCGAACCGCCTGAACTCGGCGGCGCGCGAAGCAATTGGCCGTCTCGGCGGCGCCCGCCATCTTGCATCCACTCCTGCAGTAACTCCTCGCAAAGTCCCCCAGCAATGACAGCCTTGCCCCTGCGCCCACTCAGCGACTGCGCCATCGCCCCGGGCTCGTTCGGGCGCTCGCCCCGCGCCGGCCGTTGCGCCGCGAGCGACAAGGCCTGCCCCAGTTGGGGGCGGCGCAAGAGCCGCGTAGATTGCATTCCCAGACGCCCAGCGGCAAGGCCGTCGGCGCCCTCCAAAGAGCGGGGCGCGCCACATTCGGGTCGTTCCCAGCATGTTCCGCGGCCCAATTGACCGCGTGTTCTCGTCGACTCTGCCCTGCCCCCCGCCGCCTTGGGGCCGTTTCCGGGCGGAGGGGCAGCGTGATGGATTATGTAGAACTGGAGTAAGCCCGACCCGCCAGGCACAAGAATCTGCTCCGCGCTGGACACTTGGATGGTCGCCCGGGCCCCAACGCGGCGCGCGCCTCGCGGTCGCGCAGGTGAAACAGCGGCGCGGCGCCTCCGGCCAGGGCGGGCAATGAATTCACTGAGCATGCCGAGATGGCGCCGGCGGATCCGGCCTCCACTGCGCGAGCGGCCCGCGAAACTGGCGCCCGGGAAATGGCCCCAGGGGCCTCGCGAGGCGCTGAGCCCGAACTCCCGCGTGGACTCCGCGAGGAACTCGACGCGGTTGACGGCCGCGCCCGCCCACCCCTGCCCGCAGGCAGTCGAAGCGCAGCCGGAATTGACGAAGGAAAGCGCGTCCAACGCCAGAGGCGTCGCGACTATCTGCTTGCGCGGGCCGCTGACGCCGCGCGCCGCGAGAAAAAGGGAGCGCCCGCGCGCGACCTCGCGCGCGAATTCCCACGCGGAGGACCTCGTTCGCACGAAGGCAACAACGCTGCGCGGCAGCTGGAATAGGACGCGCGCTCAATTTGAACCAGAAGGCGCATCGCAGCACGCAGCGGCCGCAACTCCGGAGCTGAACCAATCATCGAAATTCAGAAGGAATTCGCACGC